ACTGATTGAATTAGGAGGCCATTTGCTCCATGTTCCGGTAGAGGATAACTCTGCGGCAGGAGGGTGTTTGATCTCTGTATCAGTCAATACCTTCTCCGTGCCTGACGCTATATATATAGGGAGACCTGCTGACAGCACTCAGATATTTTGGTAACCTCTGTTTGGCTAATCTTTGTAGTTTTTCCTTCATGCTGCTTGTGTAAAAGTCTTGGAAACTACTTTGGTAAATTATTCAGAGAATACTTAAATCTGTAAATTTTGGCCTGCTGTTTCCTTGAGGAGCAGGTGCAACAACACTTTTATTGCCATTAAATAAATCCCAGGGGATTCAGATCCTTGTGATCAGTTTTTCCTTTTGGCTCCTCCTCTCCCACAAGGGCTTGAAACGCTCAAGACGGCACACATCAACTTGGACTTCAGGGCTAGAAGCACAGGAGCCCTTCTGATCAGCTCCTGTCCTGCTCCATCAACACAAAGGTGTAAGTGTTTCCTTTTTTATAAAAAAAAGAAATTATGCCTTTACCTCATGTGGACTTATCTGGCATTCATGCATGTTTACATTTGTCACTTTATGCACAGTTTGTCTGTTTTTGATAGCAAGATAAAAATTTTAAGAAGATAACAGACACTCAACTTTCTTTATTTTAACGAGGAGACATAATAAAAGTATACATTTTTATAAGCAAAATTTATTGTGACTAACGCGGTTCTTGTATGGGTGTGGCTGTTGTTTAATAGTGTGGAAAAAAATGACCTTAAAAAACAGATTCACCATGCAGGAATTGTTCTTGTTTTCATATCCAAAAGCAGTAAAGGCGAATGATGTTCAGTATATTATTTGCAACTGTACGCAAACAAAGCAGATCGATACTGAACCCATTTGTGCAACTTGGGGGATAAATTATTAACGCCAGTCTTTCCTCGGCTTTTACATTGCCAGGAATAAATAACTTTGCGCTTATAATACAAGTTAATATGAAGATGCATCCTGGTGTTTTTGTCTAAATTTCCATACGTTAAATTTAAATCATTCATACTGCCGGTGTTGCTTGCAGTACATATATGTTTAATGAACTTTCAGCCACCTGTCTTGATTCTAATTCTTTTCTTTTGTACTGAAATCTAACAAATGTGTTTGTTTGAAGAATGGGGCGAGGCCAAAACATGGGACACCTAACCCAGCTTGGTCGGAGGCAAATGACACAGCAGGAGCCCCAGGATGTGGACCCCTTGTTTATCCGCTTCCTCCGGACATTCAAGGAAATCCTCAAATTTGTTCTCTTCAGTTACACTGTGCTGTTTGGCGCTTTGCTCCTTGCCAGGTGGACCACTTATTTTATGATAGGAAAATAAAGTGAAAACACCTGTTGGAGAATAAGCCAGATCTTGGACTTATTAGTGGTGTTTATCAGGCAGACCTTGGGATTTGCGGCCTATGAAGTTTCCATAAAACGATAATAAGAGCTGGATTTATCATGTTTTCTTATGTGATTCACATAGTGGAGCTTGTGGCTTCTTGACACGACATTTCTCAGTGAACAAAACAAAGTGTTTAGAGAAACCCGTCGGTGAAACTTATTTTAACGCTGTTGGAATCCAGTGTGTTTGTTTTTAAATGTATATTAATAATGTACGTGTTACAAACGAGCACAGAGAAGCTATAAACCATGTTTGTATGGTGGTGTAGTATACACTGAACTATTTTATGTATTGTAAAAATGTTTATGTAAATACTACTTATCATCGGTATTGATAATGTTCATGTGTATTGATTTTTGTGTTCCAGTGCTAATATCTACTGAGTGAAGGGAAGCAAAGCTTTCCCCTCTGATGGGTTTTCATATGTCTAAGAAAGCTGAACCAGTAGGCAGACACAGCAAGTAACTGCTCCGAAAGGGATTAAAGCCTCAAGGTTTATATGACAATAAATTTGTGGTAATTTGATGAATACCAAATTTGGTTGGCAAGACTGTATTCACCACCAAAACACAATATAATCAGAAATGGTTTAAGTCTCAGAGACAGCAGGTAAGGACAGAGCAGTAGCCCTGCTGGTGTTTTTCCAGTATTAAAGCTGTTGTAGATGATTTGTTGGCCAATAATCTGTCAAAAAGTATCTCAAATATATCTCTCATGAGTGATACAGAGTCATTCTGAAGCAGAAAGGATATTCCTGTCACAATATAGAAGCTGTGGTCAGTTTTTGGCGAAAGGGACTTTTACATATTATTTATTTACAGCAGGTGAGAAGTCTCACTGATATTAAAAAAATCTTTTTAAAGAAAGATCTGGCTAATAGGGGAGTAAAATTTGTAATAAATATAACATCACAGTTCCATAAAGATACTTGAAGAAGCCAGAACGGACTGGATTAGTTATAATGTAGAACACAGAGCAGAAACAATAAGCCAGAGTGATAAACTTGCAAAACACATCATTTCCCCTTCATAAATTCTGTTGACTACAGTCCATTTATATTACAACCAAAAATATTAGGGTACATATAAAAACACACATAGAAAAATAACTATTTGGCACAACATCGGAAGCAGAGCCACAGCAGAGCGATCGTTTTATAGTTATTTAAAACTATAATCTCACATTTTCATCAATTTTACAAATAACCGTGAGAGTCGTTTTAAATGTCCCAGAAAGACATGGAAGTGTGACAGTGGTGCCAATAGAGGTGAAGTCAGCTATTTAGTAATAGTCTGCAGTGACGTAAAACTGTTAGCAACAAAAAGCTGCTGTCACGTTTTAGCCAAGAGGCGCATTATGAGTTTTGTGACTGAAAGTTGCAAGGCAACATTAACAAAAGTAAAACAGTGTGAATGCAGTTTTCACAGGTGTTTCCCTTTGAAAACAGTGTGACATTCAAAATAAGTAAGACGGGGTTAAAGAAGAATCAGTATGGTTTTCTATAAAGGTGAACTCGTCCGCTTGAAGGTCCTGAGGACTGAGACAGGTGGTGTGAAGGTTTGATCCAGAGGAGAGCCACATTTTTACAAACTATTCCACCATATGAACCTGAAATCTGTGTGTAACATCTGACCTGAGAATGTGCAGAAGAACACCAAACATTATTTATCATGGTGCAAACCTTTATGTTTGACAGTATTTTCTATCTCCTCTCTATGTGCACATTGCAAAAGGCTTTGCTGACTGGGAATTGATGTTTGAAGTTAACGGCTTCAGTTGACTGTAATCACAGAGCTAAATGCTTGTCCATTTACAATAGAAATTGGTAATTCTATTAAACATTTTATTTTCTTAAAAAAAATGCTGCTTAGCATTCATATTTGAACAGAGCATGGTTTCCACCAGTGTATTGCAACTCTGATAGCCCATTGGGCCTAAGATGACCCTCTGTTGGGCCTCAACATCAAGAAGTGTTTTTAATGTTTCTTTTCTTAGACGCTGTTAGACATCCTACTTGATTTATGTTAGCTAATGTGTGCTTTTAACTATTTTTACACGCATATAAACTGCTTATAAGATTTTGCAAAGCTATAAAGAAGATAAAAAAAATAACCCCAAGAATATTATGACCTTATATTGTTTTACCTGTTTAGCTGAGTTTTAATAATTTAGAATATGCAAAATCTTGTGTTGGTGTAAGAATAGGATTATTCTGGAATTCTCATGCCAGAAGTGACTTTCTTTCTCATATCAAACCAGCAGCAGTGTGTCTGTAGAAGGCCTCACAATCACAACCCCTCTGTATGGTTTATGTCATGCAGTATGTTTATTTTTTTATTCATCAAGCTAAAAGCTCAGGGAGATTGAAAATCGCTTTCAAGAGTTATGAGGCCAAAATGGTAGCAGAGATTGTAAAAATTTTAAAATAAGCCAGCGCACAAACACAAATCTCAAACAGTTGCAGTACAATTATGAGTTAACAGGTTCAAATCATACAAAAATAACAACACAACAAAACAATGAAGTTTCAGATGAATTTCAAACCAATTTCAAGAGCGACCTCAATGACCAGCTATTTAATCCTCTAAATGGACTTCAACTCCTCCATATTAACCAGTTCTGATCCTTTCAGGTCTCGGTCTGTTTTTCATTCTGGAAACAAATAGTTTGTCTGATAACCGATGGATAGCACTAATTTTGACTAAGTGCAACTTGCAACTTCTTTTTTGTTATTTGCAAACGCATGTTGGCATCAATGTTGGCATCAACAATGAAATTAATTTCATTGTTGATGCCAACATTGAAATTAGATTGTAATCTATTGTTTATATTCACATTCACATAATGTGAATGTTTGATTAAATGGTTTTATGCAGTCTGATTTCACTGCGAATAAATATACAGATGAAACAAAATCAAACAGTGTAATATTTTTACAGTAGAGTGTGTATGTGTATCATTACTGCATAAAATTTTTCTTTTAAAATTGCATCTTAAATAAAAAATACATTTGTAATTAGTAAAATTAGTAACATTTTGTGATTATTAAAAGTCTTAAAAGGGAAAACTGCCTATAAGAGTAAATAACGTGCAAAATTGGAACCAAACTTTATGACTCTACTGACTGATCATAAACAATATCTACCAAGTCATCTATCCATTTTCTGGACAGCTTAGCTAATTCAAGGTCATGGGTGGGCTGGAGCCCATCCCAGCTGTCAGAGGTGTGGTACACCGTGGACAAGCTGTCAGGCCGTCACACTGATAACACAGAGAGGCAGACAACCATTCACAAATTGGCAGTTAACCTAACACGCATGTCTTTGGAACAAGTGGGAGGAAGCTGGATTATTTGGTGAGAATCCAAGCCCACAGCTGCCGATTTAAACCCAAGACCCCTTTGCGTTGAGGTAACAGTGCTAACCACAGCACCACCATGCTGCATAGAAAATACTGAATATAACTTTTTTTTAATTTATTTTTTTACCGTGATTGAAGCCACAAAAAGTCAGAACAAAAACTAACAAAATGAAACCAAAATGAATTCAGAAATTAAAAAACAAACAAAAAACATGTCTTACCAAGTTTCAGTTCATCACAATGGTTTTCCGTTATGTTTTTGTTCTCCTTCATAGGTTTCCTGGTGATCACTGTGAGAATGTAGTTTGTATGATTTCCATAAGTCATTTGACAGTTTCCCTTTGTTTCAGTATTGTTGAAGGGGATGTCAACCCAACCTCCTGTGCAGTTCTTTCCATCTCACATCATCTCACAACCTGAAGACAAAAATTCAAATTATGTAGGTCATTTAACAAAACAAATAAGCAAATTAATCGATCAGTTGGGAGAACAGTTCTTCATCCAACAGCCTTCAGATACTTTATTAGCAGAGCATGCTGTAAAACATTGCTGTTTTTATTTTTACTATATAGGTTTTATGCTGTGACCAGTTAGTATTTTTGTTATGATTCAAAGTGTCACTACTGCAAAAGCGAACTTCTGCTTCAATACATAATGTTACAATTAATTATTATTATTATTATAGTTGTTTTTCACAGTTGCTAACAAAATATGCAGTACATGTGAAAAAACATTTGGATGCTTCCAGATTTCTAAGGTTTTGTTTTGTTTGTTTGTTTTTGCATGGATTGGTTTAGTCATGTGCATACGGGCAGAAGGAAGTCCCACTGTTGTAGTTGTGCAAAATCAAGCACGTAGGCATGCAGACTACAAAGGTTTGTAAAAGAATGTGTCACTGAATTCAAATGAGGCACTGTAATAGGATGCTACTGTAAGTTTATGAAATTTCATAGTTAATGAAACTTTTTCCTTCTTAGATATTCACAACAACTGTAATTGGTATGATTGCTCATAAGTTTTGAAGCAGAGTCAGTACGTCGCTACGTCAATGAAAGTTTCCAACACTGTACTAACTCAATAAGTGAGGACTTCCAGACATCTTCTGGCATTAACATCTGCACAAAAACTGTGCACTGGGAGCTTCGTGGCATGGGTTTCCATAGCCGAGAAGCTCCTGTGGGTGTAATGTGAGGGTGGCGCTTTTTTTATCCATATAGCTTAGGTCTTATACGCTGTCAGTCCTTATCTCTTCTAAATGACATTATTAATCCCTGTGTCACTTTTTAGACCCGTTTCATGGTCACTGATGTCATGGTGGAAAATATGACATGGCATTTGATTTAATTCTACCATAAACACATTAGTGAAACTTTAAAGTAATGTGAATAATCATGATCATCTGTCATAATGTAATGTTCTTAAAAAAGAAAGAAAAGTCATGGGTAACATTGTAGCAACATTCAACATTAGAAGAGTAAAAATGGCTCTTGGCTTTTAAAATCTGGGAGAATTCAGTAACAGCAAAGATGTGGCAGATGTACAATTTTAAGAAGAAAGAAGCCTTTCATTGTTATACTGTGTCGTAAAAACCTAAACAGCAACAAGGTGTGCAAATTAGCTGTGGCCAGAAGTCCTATATGATTGCATCTGTTGCATTTAGTTTAAATGCGACAATGTTAATACATACAGTCCCTGTTGTGTAAATATATGATGTACAAAATACATAGTGCAATACCTATTTTAATCATATTCAACATTAATTACAGTATAATGATTAGTGAATAATATCAATTAGGAGTTGGTCATAGTCTTATTACCTGTCATCATTGAGAAGATGAGTAGTAGCAGTGATGTCATCATGTTGGCTTTAGTCGCTTCTTTAAGATCTTTAAGTCTAAATTATTAACCTGCAGTTAGTTTGCTTTTGTTAGCCTGTCTTGCCTATCTGTGGGGCTCTGGTGATTCTTGATTTTTTTTTTCCATCCCATCTTATGTTACTAAAAATGTACTTGCCCCGCCTTTCTGACCACAAATTCCCCCTCCCCATTTCTTTAAGGTTATTTTCTTTATCATACTTACATCATCTTATTAGTAGAGAGGAAGCAAGTGGTTTGTGTGAGTGTGAGAATGACAATAACACTGAATAGGAAGTCAGAGTCTAACAGATATATTTATTTGATAATATAATAGAAAAATACTTATAAAGAGAAGAGTCTCTTTAATCTGCACACTTCCTAAACTGCAAATTGAAACTGGACAGCTCAGCGCAAATGTTGAAATCCAAGAAAATGATCTGAATTCTTCTATGCTTGTTTTGTACATTTGATGCATTTTGGATAGAGATGGTTACATATTTAAAAAGTTTGCTTTGGCTCACTGACTGTTGAGTGGAGATTCATCCCTGTTTGTCCGGGTGGTTGATTGACAGCTGGTTTGGTTGGACATTCATCTGACTGCTTTTTAACTGAGGAAATAAGTCCCTAACATGGTTGCTGGGGAAGTATAAATCAGTATGCCTTATTACAGGCAGTGTATACATAAAAATTTTCACACTGGCTTCTTTGATGTGCTTTGCTGCAGTGTCAGCTCCTGTGTTGTTTGAACATGAAAATTCTGGCAAAAGGGAGAGAGCTAACAAGCATGTTAGCATTCAGTAGCATTTGTGTGATTGGTAGTTTGGTTTTATTTGATTTCATTTAATAGACATTTACCAGATATGACACAGATTTAACAAATGTGACCAGGAAATCTGAAAAACATTTATATTCATATGCATCATGCACTATATCTGTGACACTTTAGATATCAGTAAGACTGAAGAATGATACTTTGGTACAACAGTATCAGACAATATTTGACACTGAGTGGGCATGTGTTCTTACTGCATTTATTCCTTTTGGATTACTCAAATGTACTAAGGTGTCACTGTGGCTTAAGGTTTGTGATTTCGACCATAAGCTATGACCTAAATCTTTGCCTTAGATCTATATACATTCAAAAGAGTGTTGAGAGAATATCATACAAGTTGCAGCAGGCCTCTTTTTAGGAAGTATTCTTCGATATGTCATACACACACACAGAAAAGAGCACAGGTGTAACTGGTAATTTAGATGGCTGCCTTCCATCTGGGTGAACTGGTTTGAATAAAAGTCATTGCAGTAAACACGCTGAATCACCTTCATTGCATAGCCAGTTGATAGAGCTGAGTCATTGTTAATGAAAATCTTTTTTAACTTTGTTTTTCTGGCTATGACAAATCACTTTTTTTCTGGTATAAACACTCTCAACTGTTCATGTGCCTTAAAGTACCAGGAAACGAAGGGAGGCATTGATAACATCATACACCTGAGCTTTTCCTTTGACAATAATTGTAAAACTAACTTTCTCACAGGGCCCAGTAGATGCGATTAATTTTACTTGGAAGAAACGTTTTTTCCTGTTACGCTTACATTGACGAATAAGGTTCTGAACTCTCAGAGACATCCTGCTGAACAAATGTCTGTCAGATGCATCTATTGCAATTATTACTCAGTTTATTTCCCATTCAGTTGTAGTTTAACTCAGTGGAATCAGTGGGTCATCATGCAATGACTACATTTAATAGGCAGTAAACAAGATAGTAACTCATAAAATGCACCCAATGTGGAATAACTTTTGTAGACGTTAAAACAAATTTAAAAAAAAAAACCCTCTAAAATTTATTAAGAAATCTGAATTTCTGTTTGAAACTTGGAGCTTTCGGACTCCACTTTCTAAATTCAGCATGCGAACGAGGTTAGTTCGATTTTTCTCACTGAAACAATGCACATGGGCGGGGTCTAATAGTTATACTTGGTTTTATATTTTAAAAACCTGGTTATTACCCTTTTTATGAATTTAAAGCGCAGTAAATCAAGTGACCTCGCGGTCTCCGCAGATAGGAAGATGACCAACGTCGCTGAGGGGTAGGTTTAAAATTTCGCGGCGCACCCTCTCGCCGCTCTCTGGTGACTGCTGAACGCCGCCCGCGTTTCGCCATTTTGAAAGTGCTGTAAGGAGGCAGAGGCGAGGGAACTCTCAAAGTAGAGTGCAAAGTCTACAAGCCAATAGTGGGCATTATTAATTACTTTGTGGAAAACAGTTCCGTGCTGTATAGCAGGGCCGAAGACTTTTGCTTACGTTCTTCAGAGTACCAAGCAGCACTCCCGGCTTCATTCCTGCACTGCTCCTCGCTAGAACCTCCCAGCCGACCCGGGTCAGCACTGTTCCAGTCCAGGGCCCGAGCCCGCTTAGATACCCCTCTCCGAGTCGCTCACCATGGCAGGTAAAACCACAGGGGAAAAGACTACCACAGTGCCGCCTGGGGTTATTAATTAACAGGTGCTGACCTGTTTGACAACGATGATGGGTTTCTCTGTAATGTCATGTTTAACCAGCGCAAGCTAGCTAGCGAGCTAGGGTAATTCAAAGATGCCAGTGTAAGTCAGTGTTAGTGTTAAAGTGAGCGAGATTCTCCACAAACACACGTCAAGTAGTTATCTGTGCCTATGAGTTTATAGCAGCAGTTGCAACGCAGTTACTGTGAATTTCCTTAAGGCCTCGTTGTCATATTGATGTTTTTAGCTAAGTTAGCTGCAGGCTAACGCGTGTAAAGTTGTCTCTCTTTAATGGTGGTGTGTCCAATCTTGGGGTCATGTTGTGTGCAGGGCCCGGTGGTGGGAGCAATGATGTGCAGTGGTGCTTCTCCCAAGTCAAAGGAGCAATAGATGACGACGTCGCTGAAGGTAAATCCATGTGATAGTCACTGAACACTTGCTAGCCTGAGCTGCCAGGATCACCATCCTGTGCACGCTTGTTTTAAGCTTTGCTTCAAAGCGCTGCTGCCACACTTTATATTTGTGGTATTTCTAAATATGCAATGAAAAGTAATGCCTTCTTTTTTCTTTTTCTTTTTTTTTTTTACAGTAATAATGGGTATAAGGGATCAGTGGTGTGGTATTGTAGTCCATTTGGTTTCTCACAGACTGACAACAATCTTCTATTTTTGGCATAATTGCTGCAAAATGTCAGCATTCACTATTTTCTCAGTTCACCCTGGGTATTAGTGGGGCATTACACAATGTTTACATAATTGGGAGAGAACTGCATGTTAGAATTGAAAAAGATTTTACCTCTGCCAGAGAAGAATCTTTAATAGGTGTTTCATATTTGTTAAAGAAGTAGCACTTACGTTTGACTAATTACAGAGCTGTTTGAGTGGCCAAGTTAAAAGAAAACCTTTACCAGCTAATTATTTCCGAACTAAAGGAAAACTCAAAGCACCAAAAGTGTGTTTACAGTACATGGTGGCCGTATTTATGCATTAAGGGCTACACATTTGTTTACAGTAAGCTTTGTCTGGGAACATGTATAAATGAGAGCCTCTCCTTGTGTCAATACATAGGAGTACATGGGCTCAAAACACAACACTCCAGTAACGTTTTTATTAGTTTCCTGTAAAAAAGGATTCGCCTTCAGTCTGTCTGCTATTGTTTTATGGGGTTGCATGGAGTCGGGTCGTATCAGGCGCACACTGTCGATGTTAACGACTGCACTAACTCAGAATAGTGCCAGTGTGTAAGCGGGGATTGATTGTTGTATTGTAGGACTTTGTGAGAATGGTTCTCTTTGAAAAGTGCTAAATAGCTGAAGATGGAAACTTTTTTTCTGTTCTTTTTTCCTTTGTGTCCTAACATTGTTGAGTGTGTGTGTATAAATATGTGTGCGTCATTGCTGTGTTGTGTTTTCACCATGGTTGACATGATTTTCACCCCTCACAGGTGGGCTGCTGAGGCATTTTGTAAATCACTTCCCATTGAAAGGCAATGAATCGTTTAGACAGCAAAAGCCTCGTAAAACACTCAGTGTTATTGCAGTAAACATGTCTCAGATTGACAATAGCGTTCATCAGAAACTCTGGCAGAAAATGTGTGGTTATTTATATTTGACGCTAGTCTCATTTTTGCAATTTTTATTATTGACAGCCGATATCATATCCACTGTTGAATTTAACCAATCTGGAGAGCTACTTGCAACTGGGGACAAGGGGGGTCGTGTTGTCATCTTTCAGCAGGAGCAAGAGGTATGTTTTAGTGACACATAGGAACAGTAATTATTTTTAACATTTGATTCATAATACTCCAAAGCAGGTAGGTCATCAAACTCAGTTTATATAACACAAAGGCGTACAGGTACAATGTTTCTAGTGATCTTGACCCGAGACATTGAATCTTGGTTTCATAACACTTGAACTTTTGTTTGATCTGTTTTGTATTTAGAGTAAGAATAAGCTTCAGTGCCGAGGAGAGTACAATGTTTACAGCACCTTCCAGAGCCACGAGCCTGAGTTTGACTACCTGAAAAGTCTTGAGATTGAGGAGAAGATCAACAAGATTCGATGGTTGCCTCAGAAGAATGCAGCACATTTTCTTTTGTCAACAAATGGTTTGTAAATTACTTTCTTTTTGAGTAAATTCTTTTGCTGTAGTAAATGTGAACTTTTGTTATGCCATCTACTGCCTTATATGGGAGTAAATATAACTCAATGACTCTCATGATCTTTGCTCTTTCTCATTGTTAGACAAAACCATAAAGCTGTGGAAAATTAGTGAGCGTGACAAAAGACCAGAGGGCTACAATTTGAAGGAAGAAGATGGGCAATACAGAGATCCCAACACTGTCACTACACTACGGGTGTGTATAACTGGCTTTATTACAGCCCAGATCTTTTCTTTTTGTTACATTGTTAGCCAAAACTGAGATCTTTTGCTTACTTTCCATTCATTTAGAATAAGTTGATCAAGAAAATTAACAGCAAATTAAATATGTTGAGTCTGGTTAGTAATTTACATCTGAATTAATTGGAATAAATGTTAATCATTTCTTTTCCGTGTTTCCTTCCAAAACTGTCCGTTCTATTTTTGATTGAGACGTTGACTTATCTTATGAGCAAGTAAACAGATGGAACTAATAAAATGACCAATCTGTTCCTGCAATTACTGCAGTGCTGCAGTTGATGTAATGTCTGCTTTATTCACCTTTAATTTTCACAGACACCCCCCCCCCCTTTTTTTTTTTCTCCTTGTCCTTACTGAATGGTTTCCAAATATAGACTCAGTTCAACAGGTTTGCCTTCATACTGAGGCAAGGCCTTTTATTTGTTTGTTTAAAGAGCAGGTAACTGTCCCCATCTTAAAAATGGGAAAATCTATGTACATTTTCACCTACATCTTTGTGCCTCTTTACCAGGGTAAGAAAAATAATTTGGACACTTTTTAATGTTTTTTTTTTTCTTTTTCTAGTGTGAAATTTGTTTTGTAACATGCCTGTGTGGATATATTAGAGGTAAAACAGAGGTCATAAAATCTACTGCATCTCCCATTAAAGAAATATAAAAACAGCCCCACTTTTGTTTTCAGGTACCAGTATTCAGGCCCATGGACTTGATGGTGGAAGCCAGTCCTAGACGAGTGTTCGCCAACGCGCACACATACCACATCAACTCCATCTCAGTCAACAGCGATTGTGAGACCTACTTGTCTGCTGATGACCTGCGCGTTAACCTCTGGCATCTGGAGATCACTGATCGCAGCTTTAGTATCCTTTCATTCTTTAATTCCATAAAGTACTGCAATAATATAAAATTATTTTGTCAGTGTTTTGTCTTATTTATTCCCAGTTTGATCATTTTTCAAAGGAGCGTAAGCCAGGGAGAGAACTTAAAAAAAAATGTATGTGAATAGTATGTGAAATAATGAATGATATGTTGTGGTTAGTTTTAAGCCTTTGTTTGAAGAGATACCTGATTTATTAATCCTGTTCACCTGCTCACCCCATGTCAGTCAAATTAGACAAAGACTATGTCTTACTTAGCAACAAATAAAACATGATTCATGTATTTTTATAGGGCATATAAACAATTCTTTGCCTGATATTTAAAAATGTACATACTGTGTTTACAGGCAGACTGGACAAGAGCAAAAAATGATATTCACTGGTGTCTATTTAATCTGTAGCACAGTGTCATTATTTATACTACCACCAGATGTCCCCAAAGCGTGGGATGTTTAACTGGGTGCCTCTAACATGGTCTAAAAAATCACCTCCTACATCCTATGTTAATAATTTCACCCCATGAGTTCTTACTGCGTTGTTCTATGTAGGACAGCGGTCCCCAACCTTTTTTGCGCCACGGACCGGTTTATGCCTGACAATATTTTCACGGACCGGCCTTTAAGGTGTCGCGGATAAACAACAAAATAAAACTAGTACCGGTACCGAAAAAAAGAAGATTTATTCATAACACACGTGAAAAGACCCAGGAAAACCAAGTTAACGATAAAAACGATAACAAAACGCTGAAAACCAATAAAAACCCTGAAAACCGTACATTTTACACCTGAGCCTCTACTCTCGTGGCCCGGTACCAAACGACTCACGTACCGGTCCGAGGCCCGGGGGTTGGGGACCGCTGATGAAGGCTGTATAAACAAAGACGAACCAGAGTTAGATACAAAGTGGAATCATGTTTTTCTTGAATTGAGATTAGTTGCTCGTTCGGGCCGCTCATATCTTCTCTTCATGCTGGAAGATTGATGCAGTGCAACCCCTGCCTTTTATTAAGGATTTCGTCAACTGATGTAAAACACTTGAACCGGAGAAAGAATTAATGCAAACTAAATTATGTTAAATGGTTTTATCACTGTAGGCTCCTAAGGTCAGAGGTCATCTGTGAGATTAATGTAGCTGTTAAAAGTTGAAAACACATGAGCATGGAATGGAAAGTATTCACAAGTGAATAACATCTACATGATTTGGGGCACTTTTGTGCTAGTGAGCAGATATCTGTGGCAAAACCTTTTCCATGTGCCAGTCACTGTTTAAAAAAAATGCAGATAATTTAAAAAAAAAAGATAAATCATAGTGAAGTTGATGGTCTGTGATTTCAGTGTCTCATAGTGGCAATAGCAGTTTTTATTTTCCTCTGCGCACAGACTGTTTACCTGCAAGCAGTAAAGCCTGCTTAGATGGGTTCTTCAAACTGAGAACATGACTCTGTGAAAAATAATAATACTACTACCAATTAATTTTATTTCTGAAAGATTTTTAAGTTGCTGAAATGTCTGTTCAGGTTTTTTTGTTTGCTTGTTGGGGTTTTTGGGTTTGTTTGTTTTTACCTTAACCTCACCTCTTCAGATATTGTTGACATTAAGCCGGCCAATATGGAGGATTTAACAGAGGTGATCACAGCGGCCGAGTTCCATCCCAACCAATGCAACACTTTTGTCTACAGCAGCAGCAAGGGCACGATCCGCCTGTGTGACATGAGGGCAGCAGCGCTATGCGACAGCCACGCCAAACGTAAGTCGGTCTCTTTTTGTGTTTCTGTAGCTGTTTGACTGTGTGTCTCCTCAAAGATCGATGGGGGGCTCTCATTGAGCCTATCAGTGTAACACTCGATTAATCAGCTGCAGTTATAAAGTTACTCTTGCTATGGACGGTGGCTGACTGGACTAGTGCAGTGTGCTTGAACAAAGCTGACGGTTTGTTGAGAAGAAGACTTGACAAGTGAAAAGTTGCACTGTCGTGAGAGCCTTTTCTTAAAATGAAACAAAGCTGACGTCTTACATGTTGTTTTCTGAAAATATTTTCTTCGATTTTATAACAAAAAAGAAATTGAACAACAAATTGCTTCTCCAATTCTATACAATTCACATGGTAACATAAAATTCACAAATTCACCTAAGAAATAGAAGATCCTTAGAAGATCCTACCTAGTTTCCCATCTACCACATTATGAAGTATCCAGGCCATGTGGGTCTTAGTGCATGAGGCTATAAAAGAAGATTTACACACTCTGCTTCCTGCTCACAGCATAGAAAACATAGCGCACGTACGTATAGATTGGTACCTGCTAAGCCAAATTGTTCAGAACAGTCAGAATGGTGACCCTTATTCATAACGCATATCAAAAGATAAGCGGAAAGGCTTTGTTACTTTTATGCTTTATTTCTGTGTTTATATAACCAGATTTGAAATTCAGTATCTTTTACAAAGTTGTTGTTATGTAAAGAAAGTTTCGGGGCTTACTTTAAAACAACTCGACCACTGTAAAAATTATTGTTGTTCTTCCAGTCATTGACGCTGAAATGCATGTGTTTGTTCTTCATTTTTTAAGTGTTTGAAGAGCCTGAAGATCCAAACAATCGTTCCTTCTTTTCTGAAATCATCTCATCCATCTCTGATGTAAAGTTCAGCCATAGTGGACGCTACATGATGACCCGGGACTACCTGTCTGTCAAAATTTGGGATCTCAATATGGAGTCGCGACCAGTAGAGACATATCAGGTCTGTAAATTATGCCAACACAAAAATACTGTTCCAGTTTCTGTATTACTTTTCTTCCTGTAAGGCTAGATTGATTCTAGCAGGTTCCGTCCATCCACGTGATTAAAGTGTAAATGTTGTTTTTGCTTTTGCACAGTTGTTGATGGAAACTCTGTATATTTCCTCATTGCTTTCTTTAAATAGGTGCATGAATATCTCAGGAGCAAGTTGTGTTCACTCTATGAGAATGATTGCATCTTCGATAAGTTTGAATGCTGTTGGAATGGGAACGACAGGTAAGCACTCATTCCGTGGCTTCCTTTTTGTTTTTTTTGTTTTGTTTTGTTTTTTCTGCAGCTGTCCTGGACAAACAAAATACATGCGTGCATGACGCACGCAGAGCGTTAGGGAATACTCCTTTTCTGACGTCACTGAACCCAGAAACGCAGGCCTTATCACTTACTGCAGTTATCTGCTCGGTGCAGACCATAATGTGGCTCATAATTTGGTTTGGGTGGGTGGTGAAGTGGTATAATTGGCTCATGACAGACGACAGGATTTAATGTCCATACTTGAAAAGGATTGTGCTTGCCAGTAACGTTAAGGCTACTCGCTGACTCACACCTTGTTTACCTACAGTGTTGTGATGACGGGTTCCTACAACAACTTCTTCAGGATGTTTGATCGAGGATACCAGCAGGACATGACCCTAGAGGCGTCGCGGGAAAACAGCAAGCCGCGATCGGTCTTGAAACCTCGCAAAGTAAGCACAGGTGGGAAGCGCAAAAAGGATGAGATCAGTGTAGACAGTCTGGACTTTAACAAGAAGATCCTCCACACTGCCTGGCATCCTCTGGACAACATCATTGCTGTGGCCACAACCAACAATCTGTACATATTCCAGGACAAGCTGAACTAGCATTTGTTGAAGCACTGAGGTCCCAGTTTCTGCTTGAGCGCCGCTGCTCTGATATACAAATATGAACAATAGCTGTCTGTTTTTGGCTAAATCCCTCTTGTTGAGCTGCCCTTGGCATATGCCAAGAACTGCTATGTCAACAGTGGCATGAACACAGTACACCCAAGTAGGCCATCACAAGCCCATTTTCTATTTGTATTGCAAATATGAACATGTAGGGGTTTTTTTGTTTGGTTTTTTTAAGATCTGAGTCATACAGTGGGATTTAGTGTCATGGGTTTTCTCTGGTTGGAGCACTCCAGTCATCAAGCTACAAATTGCAACTCCACTACATCCCAAACCAAAGGGAAATCTGTTCATACACATGTTTGGTTAGTTTGTTTGATTCTTCTTTTGTGCCATGGTTCATCTGTGTCTCATAGCCACTAGTTATTAGATTATTGTAGCTATTGTGTCTCATTAGTTTTCTGTTGCTCTCATATCATTCAGTCACCACTGGCCTGAAACACTGGTAATGCAAACTGTCGACACTCCATATTTTCACAGTATTTGTCCATTTGCCAAGTTCACTCACCACTTTCTTGCCAATATACAGTATGATTATGCAGTTAAAGGACTCGTTTAGTGTTTTAACCTTTTTTATGGTTCTATGATTATAGCGTACAGCCTGCATTACTGTAAACATCTGTCCACAGTGTGCAAGATTTAATATTGGATCAGATTTTGACCTTTTAAGACAGCCACTAGTTTAGTCATTAATATTAACAAAGTCTGCTTCATTTATACCTTTATAGTGAACTTGTTGCTGTTGATTAAATCAAGTTACATTACAGGAAAACTGTTTTCATACTGTAACATTTACCATTTAACAATGGAGACTAAATTCTGTCTCTTTTTTTTTTTTTTTTTTTCAAGTACAAGAAATAACAAAGAACCTGGTTTTTCAAGCTGCACTGAAACCTGAATATATATCCTGTTCCAATCTCGAGCCACTCTCTAAACAACAAGCTGACTTTCATGTTGTATTGATGTGGACAATGGTTTATAGTAATAAAAAATATAATTCCAGTTAATAGCCCACGGCTTTAGAAATGCTGGCGCAGTCGTGCAAAATGCACACACACATTTTTCAGGTATTGTGGTTTTATTATGGCTAATTATGCCAAAGTAACCAGTCCTATACTCACTCTGAAGCTACACTCAATTGAAGCCGTTTTGCAGAGAGTAAGCCCCCTTGTCTGACCTCGTCACCCTTGCAAACAATAGCTCAGGACAAAAGGACATATATAACTGTAACACACACACACACACACTCACACTAGGAAGGGTGTGTGTATAATGGCATTATGTGGCTTGTGGCAACAAAACTAAGTTCTGCTGCCAGCTCTCCCGCTATTTTGTTTGCAGGTTGACCCATGGCTTTACCCTCTGTATCTACTTTCTGTTTGTACACTTTTTTTTTTTAATATAATGACATTTTGTACTGTACCTGTTTAAAAATAGATTAATCACTATAGTTGATTTATTTTTGTATAAATTAAGGCAATAGGATTACAGTCTGATCACTGTAGTTTCTTTAGCTGTCTGTCTCAGACTGATTGTAGATGGAAGGTTCCTTGACAGTTGGGTAGCTGTTTTTTTTTGTTTTTGTTTTGTTTTTTGACATACAACTTGGGGACATTTTTTCTCATCCTGGAAGTTTGAAAACTTAAAGAAGCTTTTTCAGGTCTCAGTATCTTTTGAAGTTGTAAGCATTATAATTCTAACTTTTTTGGGGGGGCACACTGTGCATGTAGAGCTTATTTGGATGCCTCAGAGTTGGTTTCTAAAATAATTTGGATCTTAATATTCCACTTACGTGCCATAGTTTTTGATTAATTTTATTTTATTTGGCTGTGAAAGAATAGGCCCTTCTGGGTCTCTATTTGAAAGGCATTTTAATCAATTTTTATTGCTTAAAACTGTTTAGTCAACTTCTCTAAAGTTACTGATTTAGATTTATGAAAATGTCTCCTCTCTTCTGTGAAGCACGTGTCGCTTTGCTATACAGGCTTGTTTATTTATCAAGGAGAAATTGTGAAGCACTCAGTTTGCCGATTATTGTTATATGGCAGGGTAGTTAATGAGACATCAGGTGTAAGTGTTGTTAATATTAGCTGCACTGGGAAACCTAATGAAAGCTGAGCTGTCACTAAGTTGTTTGTCCTGTTGTTTTTCTTCTATTGAAAGTCAAATGTCATATCAGGAAGAAGATTTAATCTGTTGATGTGCAAACAACTTGATTATAGCACAATTTGTCCGCTTCATGATTTAAGCCATTAAATCAGGGAATGAAGCTTCTTGGTCCACTGGATGGTATTTGTTTCAGTTCGTGTGTTACTTTTATTTTAGAGAACGGATATCCAATCGCTAGAATGACAACAAAATAACCACCCATGTCCATACGGTGGTGTTAAACTACTGTTTTGTGTCTCTGTCTGTGTGTGTGTGTGTGTGTGTGTGTGTGTGTTTGTGTGTGTGTGTGTTTGTGTGTGTGTGTCACTCAGGGCTCTGGGTAATGTCTACTAGTGCTGAGGTATTTCACTAATCTTTCTTTTTCCACTCACACTATGTGAGGGTCATTTGTGTCATACAGCTCCAGTCACTTGAATAAACCTTCATAATGTGCCCATTCCCAAGTCAAGGATCCCATAAATTAACACATAATTACAGTAGCTATTTTTCATAACTGTGGTTTAAATCATGATGATATTCAAAGGAACCCTATTGCCTTTCTTAGAGCATTAAGAATAAATGAGATAATCAAGTCATGTTTCTTGAAATTTATGATGTGCCAGACAGGTGACTGCTCAGGGGAATTTACCGCTGCTCTTGATCAAAACGTACCTTCAAGAAAGCAGCTTTTCAGGACTCAAGACAAAAACTGCCTTATTTAAAGGTAGCTCATAACTTTTTCTTTTTTTAAAAATAAAATCAAACATATGTAATGGCTTTTGAACAACACCCTGGGAAACCAAACCTTCCCTACTTGTTGTCTGGAGTTGTAAGGTTTTCTCAGTTGCAGCAGTGTATTATACATGTCTGATATATTACAGGAGTTAAAACAAATTGCACTTTTACCTTTGTGAATTTCATTAATTTGTATGTTCTGTTTCTTTAAAATGGCCTCTTGAATAAAGATTGTAAGAGTTTGGTGATCTATGGGGTGGGGGGGCTACAAAGGGTTCAGTGTACAGCTATGTCCTTGTCACATGGAATAAAGTACAATTTAGATGAAAAGTAATAAAGAATTTTCAACCTGAATTCTGAATGTAATGACTGTTGTTTTTTGTTGTTGTTTTTTTAAATTTTGGATTAGACACTGAGGGCATTTCAGGATTCTGTAAGGCTTTTAAATGCTAAACTAAGCTTTGCATGTTGTCTTAAAAAAGACTACACCTTTCCTCTTATTTTAAATAATTATCTTTTTAATAATAATTTTTTTAAAAAGCTTTTAAGAACAAAGCTGTTACTTCAAAAAAACATTTTTCAACTGGAAAGATGTGAGATGAATGTCTGCATACCTGATCTAAGGATTACACACCTCTGATGAGTTGCTATCGTATTATATATTATTTTCTCTATTGGTGTGAAGTTTAATGAAAACAGCATGAAACTGCTTTCTCTACCTCAGCGATGTCAAACTCCTTTTACATCATGGGCAACGTATACTCCACTTTACACTGACACAAAGGGAAGTTTCAAAGAACTCTAGCTACACATTTAATCCCCCAAATATCTTAATATAAGAAAAAGGCAGGTAATTTCAGCACATCCTACTTTTTCTGCAAGGTAGTATATAATAGAATTACTGTCCCGTAATTATAAACCAAAGAAAAAGGACTGAAAATGCATTTAAAAAAAAAAAAAAACCCAAACATCTATATTAGTAATTACCTTTGTGTGTTATGAATGGCCATGGGTCTTTACAAATAGAAAAAGCTGTAAAACTTAAATGTGAATACAGTTAATATTTGTTCTCCTTGTTCCAAGGCCGCCCAGCGGGCGAATTAGTCTTTACCGGGCCTTATGTTTGAAAAGTATATAAAAACACGCCAATCCCAATCCTCAATGTGTCCTATAGATTCATCCCTTTCTAATTAATACCAGACCTATTTTCTGCCCACGTTAATATTCCAGACATGTAACCCAGCAGTTATTTGAAGGTTTACCAGTGGTCAGGGGCAGATCTACTGTGGTGGCATGTGCCACCCTAAAATAAACTCTTGCCACCCTAATTTTGCATATGGCAGTGATGTTTATTAAAATAAGCTAGCATTAAGACTTTAAGCCTAGCCGCATTTAACCTTGAATATAAATTCTAAACCTAAATATACTGCATAATATTACATCAAAACATGTAATAGCATCAATAGCTTTGTTTCTTGTTTTCAGTAGGAACAGACAGTGCAGATTTCTGACATTTTGTGTAAATTTAGTCATGTAAAATGTTATTTCTAATGAAAAGAGTGAATCTTAAGTTAGACTTGTATTTCAAATTCATGTTGTGTAGCTTTCTGGATTTTATATTTATTGAGCTACATGCTTATTTGTCATATATGCCACACAGTGCATAAAATGTAACTGAAATGTTTAATTATTTGACCAATAAGAAAGTTAGAGACTTTAATTACTGGATTTGATGTATTTTAACGATATTTTGTACATATTATAGAGGCACCCAAACCCGCATATGCCATATGTGCATATGTGTAAAGAAATTGCTATTTCCATGCCACCCTGTAATTGGAGGTGACAGGACCAGCCTTATCAATGTTGTTAGTCTCATCTCAAACCTTCTAATGACTCAAGTGGCCAACACAGAACAAAACAAAACAAAAACGAAAAAACACCCCAAAAACCAACACAGTGCTTTATGATTTTACATCGGTTATAAATACACCGGATGCTATCAGAGAACTGATTTCTGTGTATACAGTGGGACTTCATTTTAGTAGAAATATTTTTTTACTTTCCCTCACGCCCAAAAAAGGAAAAAAGAAACATCTCTATTTTCTTAAATCTTGCAATTGTGTACATTATTCAAATCAGCTTTTAAATAACGTAACCAAAAGGTGGGGGGAAAAAGTAAAACGCCATCTCTGATCTAGAGCCAGCCTTTGTTGTCTGTTTGGACTCTGGACAGATCTAGCGCCTGCGCACTTGGAAGTTTGTCTGCGTGTCATGTTGAATGCTAAAACAGGATAGTCAACATGTCCACCGCGACGGCTCAACAAAACAATAACGAAGAGCCCGGGCTTCAGGGTACGTACCGTCCTCGGGTTTTCCCGGCTCCACGTCGTAGTCGTTACTTTACATGTTCGTAATGGACGCTTGTGTGTGTGAAAAATACCGCTACTGCGAAGGTTTTATTGTAAAAGTTATATCGAGGGTGGAATTTCCTCGTCGACTGGGAGGGGCGGGGGTATGTTGTTTGACGTCACCTCAAATGAGCCAATAGCGTCTTAGAAAAGCTTTGATGGACGCGTTACTGGCCAATCATGTACAAAGATTGAAGCTAGATGGGCTTCAATAGCAACGAAAACAACTTTGAGGCAAAACACTGAATATTTTGGGGGATTTTTGTGACTTCCTTTTTGTTAAATTATTATTTTCCTATAATGGGCCGTATATTTTTGTGTGGGCAAGCTACTTCTTTACTCAAAAGCCCTTTGCACTTTTGATTATACATCAAATCTAACCGAAGGCAGTGGTCGCAATTTTTACCCAACTGCATGCAGGCAAACAGCTAAAAACATTAAAAACAACACTTAAGGTGTGCTCGCACTTCAAGCGACTAAAGCGCCATCACATTAGCTCTCGGGATGTTCTTCGTCATGCGTGGCAGCACCACAGCTGGAACAGCGACATGTCTGGGCAAACTGTCTCACCCTGCGCTCTGTAGTTATGCAAGACCTCGCATGGGAGCAACACTGATGGCAAATGCTTCTGTAAATGTGCAATCTATTATTTTTATGTCCATCCGCGAACCAAACAAATACACCATGCTTTGTTTTCGGGAAAGGGCGTCTCACGCTGTCACGTTGTGCGCTCACACAAACCCGCAGGCTCCGAGAGATTACGCAACAGCCTTCCGTCTGCTGATTTAAAAAAAAGAGTGCAGGCTGTTTATGGGGCAGTGGTACAAAGAAATGCGTGCCATCATGGATGCGGTGCACAGGCGGTTCATTTGAATTCGCAGAATCAGCGGTGCAGAAAATGTAGGTCAGCTGTTTCCATTTGAGGGTGTGTCTCTATGTGCTGTGTAATCAGCTGCGAGGTTTGTGCCTTATCACAGCAAGCTTACCTTCCTTGTGTCCTCTTGATCTTTATTTTACAAAGGGTCCTGGGTGGAGCTGGAGCTAAATGGGAATACAGGGGCCCAGGGGAGGCAGACCAACCTGCTAACACCACCTGCTGCAGACCAAATAAACGCAAATGCTGGTATGAGTCAAACTCTGCAGACCTTGGAAGTGGTGCCTGAAAGTGATGAGACCCTAATTGGAGGACTAGAGCATGTGCCATCGTCCTCCTCTATCCACAATGGGGACATGGAAAAGATCCTCCTGGATGCACAACACGAATCCAGCCCAAGTAACTCCTCCTGCGATAGGTAGGAAGAAGTGTCATTTTTTGGTCTTCAAGGCCTTATATGTGTGTTTGTTATTGAGAAGTTTTTTTTCTTACTCCAAACATGTTGATTAAGCCCTCACAGGCCACCAAGTCCAGAGCAGGATGAGGGTCAGATTACATTTGATGTGGAAATGTCCAGCCCAAGAGGTAGTCAGGTAAAGCTATGTATTCAGCTCTAAAGTTTAAGACCCTTTAAAGTCTTTTTCAGTGATCTAATCGCTTCATCTTTTATATTTGCAGTCAGAGGAAGATTGTGCAGAGAAGGACAGAGAGGAAGACATTTTGATGAACAAAGAAGTAGACTGGGTTGCTGACTGGTCGAGCAGACCTGAAAACATTCCACCAAAGTAACCAGGCTTTCAGAGCTACTTACTGATATGTCAGGAGACTGTCTTTAGCTGTGTTTTTCTTCTTTTCTTTTTTGTAATAACCTGTCATTTAATTTTTCCTATCAGAGAGTTCCACTTTAGGCACCCCCGACGTTCTGTTTCTCTAAGTATGAGAAAGAGTGGAGTCATGAAGAAAGGCGGCATCTTCTCTGCCGAGTTTCTCAAAGTCTTTATCCCTTCCTTACTCATCTCACACATCCTGGCTCTTGGGCTTGGGTAAGTCAAAAGTCACGCATCTCTACCATTGCTGAGCTTTTTGTTACACCAGCTAGAGTTTTCTCAAGTTGCCCTAATTATATGTTTGTCTGCAACAATCATATCTAGAAGTTATAGCCGTTCAAAGAGACAGCTTCCATGTTATGTTTATAAAAGTGTATACCTTAATTTTAATCTATCACTTGTTATAAATGAGCATCATCATTTATCTAGTACTGTTGCAAAATATTATTGTTCTTTTCCTTTTTTCCAAACTGACTCAGTTTTGTTCCTTTTTTTTCCTTTTTCCTCTTTCCCAGAGTGTACATTGGGAAGAGAATTGCAACAGCCGCCACCAGCTCCTACTGAGTAGAAAATGAAGCAGTGCCTAGATGTTCTCCCTTCTCCAAGTCACTCAGCCATCCTCGTGTGGTCAAGCTCTCTCTCTGCATCTGTTGTACACCCGCACTTCCCTTCCGATCACCATTAAAAATTATATTGCATCGTAGATGTAGTCGTACACATGATGTAACCGTGGTTGCGCTCCATCAGATTTTGACCGAGGACAACACTGTACACACAGTTGTCACAAATTTGAATGCAGTAGGTAACAAAGTCTGTTCCGCCTGAAAAGTATTCGTCGTCTGTTCGACTAAAAAATACGAGACAAGAGGATTTCAGATTAAGTTGCTTCAGGGTTTTAGTTTCTTTACTTGCCTTGTTGTTAAGTTACAAGAAATTGGACTGCGTCTGTCCTCTGTTGCCTTCGTAATTAATATCTGCAAGAAACTAATTAATCGGCTCTGGGAACAAAAGGGACTTGAATCGCCTTAACTTATTGAGCTTAACATTAGAGGTGCAGTGAAAGCGTGGTTGTAGTAGGGGGACGGGGTACTGCACTGTGGGATCAGTTTTTAAATTCCACACATTTTTAATAATAGAAGTTATATCTTTTTGACCGCAGAGGGTTTAAAAGCTTTTTTGTTCTGAAGGTTGGAAAGCGTAAACATTTATCTTGTATGTAGCTCCAGAATTTTACAGAAATAGTTGGAATATGCTATAATAGTGGCAACCTAAAGGCTGGAACGCAGTATACCAGGCCATATGCTATTTTTATTTGTTTTGTTGCCTACATATCTTCTTCTTTAACACATAATATAGCATCAGTGGCAAAGTGCCAAATTTGTATGCTTCACCACTGCACATCGGTGATTTATCTTGAGACTTTTTTTTTTTTTTTTACATTTTCTTATATGTTTAGGTATTTAAAGATGTAGATGTGAAAAATTAATTTAAGCTGTGATCTGCCCCTTGTAATAGATACTTTCCGACATTGTATAATCTGTTTATACAGTGATACTAATGCGTATTATATCTCATGCATCGTGGCAGTGTAAGTAATGTGTTTTTGCTGTCGTTTAATTGAAGCTTCAGTGGCAGAAAGGATCGCCACGGAGGAGGAAGAAGGGGTTTCTAGGGGTTCTCGTTTAAAAGTGTTATCAGATTTTAATCTGGATTTCACTGTACAGTAATTTCATCTAGCGTACAGTGTCTGTGTACCTTTTAAAGAAATTATTTTCTGGAGAAAATGCATGCATTTCTGTATATTGATGCTGATATGCTGACTGGATTATTCTGTCAGTGTCTGTAAATGGATCAGACCATAACAATATGGAAAAATTGGCTATAACTTACAGTATTGGCTGTTGGCTGTGTTGGTTTGGAAGCACTCGTACTAATTCCTAAACTGTGCATGTGAAAACAGATTTATGTACAGTTGATAAGTGTGCAATACTTGGAATTTTTGGAATATAAAGTTTGTACTGTATACAGTGGCTGATGTGGAAAAAAAATACAAAGGAAGTAAATAGAGATCCATAGAATTGAATTCATTTTTCAAGTATAAAAGGCACATATCATCATAATGGGCTTTCTGCACAGCTGAATAGTGAGCAGTGTGTTAAAACTTGAATGGACTTTGTACTGAATACAGAGGCTGAAACAAATGCAGCTGCTGTCTTTGGAAGTCATTTACATTTCATCACCATTAAACAAAGCACTCAGCGTAATAAGGATGAAAGTGAATGTGTGTGAATCCAAAATAAAATGTCTGTTGCTTCCTCATTTGTTGTTAGTAGTTCATTTAAAGAGGTTTCAGATGATCTTCATGAATGTGGACGTTTTAATTTTTATAAAAGATAGGGTTATAGTTGTGCTTTTTATTAGCATTTCTACTCTTTAGTGCACTGTTAATAACAGCGGTGAAGAAACATACTGTCAGATAGTTTGGAAGATGTCATACAGTATAAGGTCTGTAGATTTACTGTAAAGATGATAATTATTTTAATCCTTCCTGAATTTGTAAGTTTGCTCACTTACATAGAAATGGAAGGAACAAGGTAGTCGTCCAAGACGGTATGGTACATGGCCCCAGTGGCCCTTCAATGAGATGAAGTAATCCTGTACTGTCAGCAGAAACACAGCCCCAAACCATAATGTTCCCACCCCTGTACTTGACTGTGGGGTTGGTGTTCATTGGATCATACTCTGCTTCCTCAACCATGCCAAAATGCTGAATTTTGGTTTCATCTGACCACAGCGCTTTGTCCCAAATTTTTGCTGACGAACTGGAGAACTTCAGACGAGTCTGTACATGAGCCATGGGACATAAGGAGGGGGACATAAAAATGAGATACTCTTCATATTTGTTGCAAGTAAACAAACTTACAAACATAGCAAGGGATCAAATAATTATTTCCCCCACTGTAGCTCTACTGGTTATAGTTATCAAAAGTTTATCCATACAACAATCAATGCATGGTATGTCACAAACTGTAAATCCAGTGCCAAAATGCTGTTGTGAGAAGAGTAGCCTTTCATATGAACAGTTGTATAAACTGTTCAACTTCTAGATCAGGAGATTAATCTTTTTGTTAAAGTACTCCTTTTATCCCCTGAAGTGTCCGTCTGATCTAACAGGTTGTGCAAAACATATTTCGCCTCCAAACTGCATGTATCACATCAGGACAGAAACATGGAGCTAAAGCAGAGCAGGGCGGGGCAGTGCGCATGCGCCGTTCCTCATTGTGGCCCTCCTCTCCTTCGAGCTCGTCTGGGTTTCAGGGACCCGTTATAGGAGTGAATCAAGGTCTACGAGTGCGAGACAGAGGTACAACTTGTCGTTTTAGGCTGCTGTTTTTAGGCCGCACGCTGCGAACTTGACTTCATATATAGAGACATTTTCAGACAGAGGCATTGTTCTCTCAGGGCGTCGACTGGCCAACAAGCGGAGCATCCATTCATCCTTTCATTGGCAGCTGAGGTTTTCCAGTCTCGCTAGCTAGCGTTAGCCAAGAGGCAGGGGGCACCCGTGTCGGAGAGAGCTTCAAAATGTCGGGGTACCAAGGAAAGAAGAACATCCCACGAATTACAGTGAGTTTTGTTTCATTTTATCATATCTGTCCTGCAGTGGAGGTGTATAAAGGGTGTATAAAGGGTACGGTGAGCTTCACAGTTTAGACCAAAAGCTAGCCAGCGCTTATCCATCCATTTACACTGACGCTGTCAACAGCAGCAGCAGCAGCAGCCCAGCTCCACATACCGACAGCCTGGGATGGTAACCAGCTAGTGTGCAAGCCTTTTAACAATTCCTCATTTGAAATCTGGGTCTTACAATTTTTTCTCTGTAATGAATACTCAGATCAGGTCATTTAGCTGCCATTATTAGCCCTTATTCTCTCAGAGCATCCTCAGCCTGAAGGGTGTAGTTAACAGGTTTAGACACAGATTCCCTCACTGTGTCGTTTTTCATCTTCCACCTTCTATCCTCCAGCATCCACCATGCCTGCCCTCTTCAGTGGACTATGTGTTTTTTTGTTGTCTTTCTTTCTTGTTTATGGATTTAAAAAAATCCTGATTCATATTCAGTCAAATATTGCTACAGATCCTGATTTGCTAATATACATTAATTTTGCTTTGATTTATGGTGCAGCTCTTCACCCAGACCACACATAATCATTAGGGGGAATGCAGCAGGCTTGCTGTGATAGTTAAAAGAAGTAAAACCTCACTCGCAAAGTAGGTCATTGCACAGCTCCCATCCAAACCCTATGCTTTCATCAAGAGCAAGAGGGCTGATTCTGCAGCATATAGACTCAGCAGCTTTATGTTTGATCACTTAATCACATCAAAATCTTTTATGTACTGGCTGTGTTTCATACAGATGTTTGTCAGGTCCTTCGCAGGTCGATCCAGGGTCATAAACACACGAGTCTGACATCCCAGACACGCCATGCAGACAGCAGCAACTCTACAGCCAGCCTTTCCCAGGCTTTCACACTCAGTACAACACCACCTATTAGTCTGGAGTGAATGAACTAGATAGTTTCACTCTGCAAAGCTTTAAACAAAATGCCAAGGTTAGTCTGAAAAGCACTAGCTGAATTTGTTCAAAGCACACTAAAGCAGGAATAATAGCAGTCCTTTGAAGAATGTGCCTTAAGAGTTTCACAGCAACTTAACCTCTGCTAGCACCATATTGAGATGCAGTTGTTTGTCGCACAGCTTGATTTTGATTGAGGCTGTGTGTTCTTTTATAGAGTTTGGCTCTTGTGTAGGTCTTTTTTAATTTTTCTTTGTAATCTCTAACTGTGTCATATCCATCAATATCCAGAATTTGTCTGTTAATAGTTGATTCATGGTTATTACACAGTAATATTAAAAGAGACATGCCAACGGCTTTTGTCTTTAATTAAAAAACAAAACACAAAACTAAGATTAGGGTCAAACAAATGCTTTTTATTTAAAACAATGACTTAAAGTTATGGTATATCCTCTGATATAGTTTTCCTTTCAGACACACCAAGGTGAAACAGAGTACCCTTTTTGTGCATTTTAAGGATGCGTTGCCAGGAGGGAAGTTCCTTAGCGCCATCTGTTGGACAAACTATGCAAACAAATAATTGAAGGGTGTTTCTTTCATCTCCTCTTTGCTTTTTAACTTTAACATATCCATGATTCTAAATGCTGAAACGATGGATCAGCAAATAGCTAATATTTCCGATAGTTTCGATTCTGGCTACCCAATATATTTGTGTGGTAATTGTCTGATAATTGATGCATAAAAGATGAAGATGTTGCTTTTTCTTATTTTGGAGTTTATGGTAATGATCAGCATCTGATATATGATTTAGATGTTGGCACATTCATTTTGGAAGTTGTGGACTACATTTGATATTGTATGTGTATACCGCAAGCTCAGTACACTAACTGCTGACCACTCGGGCACAGAAAGGACACAGGTTAAATGACCCACTTATGTCAGCGCAGTGGTTTGTGAGATCATGTCAGCTATGCCCTGTACACTTAATGCTTCCTGCAGTCTGTAAAGCTGGACACACTGAGTGTTTCCTGCTGTGAGTTTTGCTGCAAAACGTTTTTTTATATCTTCGGAGACCCCAGAAAGCCTTTAGGAGAAGTAGGCCAGCCTGTTATGCTTTCCTTTCATCTCATTCAGGTGGAGGTAATTGTGTCACTCAAGAGCCTGCGCTAAGAATCTTTCCCTCTCTTCAAATGATGTGTCTGTTATGCATGAATAAGTCTACTAAATTAATCCTAGTCATCATTTAGACAGGTTGAGGATTGGTATGGATCAAGCCATGCTTTGCATGAGGCTTTGAGCAATCTGGGAAATATTCACAGCTTTAGCTTCGGTCACTCTTCTTTTCTAAAACTGTGTTTGTGGGTAAAAGATTTTCTGTTGAGTTAAGGATCAAACTGCTGGCTGCTGGAAGTTAAAATAAAATATTTATTGCTTGGTTTAGCTAATGCTGAGAAAATGCTGTCTCATCCTTTCAGAGTGACCGCCTTCTGATCAAAGGGGCGAAGATAGTGAACGATGATCAGTCGTTTTTGGCTGATATCTACATGGAAGATGGAGTCATCAAGTAAGTCCTTCTTTTTCTGCTTTTGCTTTTTGTAACTTCATTCACTTCTTTATGCCTGATTTTTTTTCTTTTTGTTTGTCTCATTGAGGCAAATTGGAGACAACCTTATTGTTCCTGGTGGAGTTAAAATCATTGAGGCTCATGGAAGAATGGTGATGCCTGGGGGTATTGACGTGCACACCCGATTCCAGATGCCTGACCGAGGCATGGTGGCTGCGGATGATTTCTACCAGGGTACCAGGGCGGCCCTGGCTGGGGGGACAACCATGATCAGTATGTGACACATCAGACAGACTTGCTCGTGTATTTTCAGCCAGTTTACACATACAGCGATGTTGTTTTGGGGATTATGACATTGCAGATGTGAATGCCATCAAGCGTATGATTTAATTTAACAGTTTGCTTGTGCACATGAAATCAGACCTGCTTGTTTGTATTCTATAGTTGACCATGTGGTGCCGGAGCCTGGCGTCAGCCTGGTTGCTGCCTTCACACAGTGGAGAGAGTGGGCTGACAGCAAGTCTTGCTGTGACTATTCTCTGCATGTGGACATCACAGAGTGGAACAAAGGCAACCAGGAAGAGATGGAGACTTTAGTGAAGGACCATGGTATGTAGTCGGAGTTGTACTCAGCTCATGTCTCCCACGTACGGCTCAAAATCTTAGACTTATCTGACTTTTTACTGGGGTGGTGAAATGTTGCCATTTCCCTGTTGTAAAAAGTGGTTCTCTGACTGCGTAGGAAAGAAAATCAACCTGCAATAACCTAAAATTTTTGCTGTGCAATTTTTTTTTATCCTTTTGGTTTTTTTACTTCCTCCCTTCGCTTTGGGTTTTTCCCTCTTTTGCTCTCTTTATTCCACCTTTTGGCTGTTTTCTCTCATAAGTTTTCTTCCTTCAGGTGTCAACTCTTTCCTGGTCTATTTGGCTTATAAGGATGTTTTCCAACTTTCTGACTCTCAGGTATGCTTGGCTGCTGGGATCTCTGCTGAGTCGTCTGTCACAGCACATGTTTTGTAGGCTTTTAGATGTCTTTGGTATAAATGACCCCCACCCCCCAATGAGCTCGACCACTTTTCTCCATGTTCTTGTAGATCTACGAGGTGTTCAGTGTCATCAGAGATCTCGGAGCCATCGCCCAGGTTCATGCTGAGAATGGAGACATCATTGCAGAGGTAACGTAGCCCCTTATAAAGTCAGTGATGTCAAACCAGATACTTCAGTATTTGATAATAATGTTTTTGTGGATGTTTTAGGAGCAGAGACGTATTCTAGAGCTGGGGATCACAGGACCTGAAGGTCACGTGCTCAGCCGCCCCGAGGAGGTAAGACTGATGATGTCTAAGAGTGACAAGCGACAGCCTGGATATAGTGTGGAACAGAAGAATCACCTGTGTCTCACCTCATTATCCGCAGGTGGAGGCCGAGGCGGTCAATCGTGCTGTCACCATCGCCAATCAGACCAACTGTCCCCTCTACATCACCAAGGTGATGAGCAAGAGTGCTGCTGATGTCATTGCTCTGGCTAGAAAAAGGGGTAAGAAGAGAAACTTATAAAAATACTTTCTCTTTTTTTACTCTGCTTGTATTCCTGACACGTAGCGTTGACATCATCCTGTCTGCTCCTGCAGGTGCTGTGGTTTACGGAGAGCCCATCTCTGCTAGCTTGGGCACAGATGGTACTCATTACTGGAGTAAGAACTGGGCCAAGGCAGCAGCCTTTGTCACTTCTCCACCACTTAGTCCTGATCCAACCACCCCCGACTACCTCAACTCCCTGCTGTCATGGTAGGTGCTTTAAGCTAGGACATAAACAGCTGTAACGCAGTGATTTGACAGATGTTACAGCTGTGTGCTGCATTTGAATTTTCAGCTGTATCTGTAATCACATTTATTATCGAACACCTGATGACAGCAGATAATCATAACATTTCCATGAGCAGCCTTAATAAAAATGTTACATTTCAAACATTTTCGGATGAATTAATCTAAAATGGCACATTACACATCACACACATGAAGGATATCTCGCTTTGTTTCTTATGTAGCGGGGACTTGCAGGTGACCGGAAGTGCTCACTGTACTTTCCAAACTTCTCAGCGTGCGGTAGGCAAAGATAACTTCTCCCTCATCCCAGAGGGAACCAACGGCACCGAGGAGAGGATGTCCCTAATCTGGGACAAATGTGTGGTGAGCTTAATGTGACCCACTTTTCACGCATTCCAGAAAATTTGGAACATAAAGCAAAATCCCCGGCAAACCTCGCCGCATGTTTACACTCACTGAAATTAAGCGATCTGTTGTCGTGTCACTAAAGGTGACCGGAAAGATGGATGAAAACCAGTTTGTGGCAGTGACCAGCACTAACGCGGCCAAGATCTTCAACCTGTACCCCCGCAAAGGCCGCATCGCCGTGGGGTCCGATGCCGACCTTGTGTTGTGGGACCCAGACGTCACTAAGATCATCTCAGCTAAGAGCCACAACCTGGTCAGATATTTACATAGCTTGTTACGACTCTTGATTCCCAATATATTTAGTCATTTGTGTGTCTTATACATAATGTGACCTAATTCTTAAGCTCAAATGCTCTTTGCATGCTGAGCCTGGTCTGTGTTAGCAAGTGAGGTACTAATATGGTATTAACAGGCAGGAGTGACAAAAGATAGAGAATAAAAAGGAATCTGAGTGAAAAATAAGCTTCAGATATATCCTCTGTTTTATTATGCAAATTTTAAATTTAAAAAATGACTTGTTGCACTGTTCACTATACTAAATGGCATCTTGTTAACTGTTTACCCCTTGAAGCCGACTTGACTTAAAGCTCTCAGCTGAAGGGTTTCTGTCATATTTCAGTTGTGCTTATAGAACAGAACGACTGGGTGTACATCAGAAGTAACTCTTGGAAAAACCCGGAAACCACATTTTTATTGATATATACTAAAACTCATCATTAAGGTACAGAGGGGGTCGTCAAATGGTCGCCTTTTTGAGGGAAAGGATTAAAGCAGGCAAAAAAAAAAAAATAGATATGATGTAATATAAGATATCAGGGAAATTTACTTTTGCTTCTGTACCTCAGATATTTATTTAGGACTTTTAAGAGATTTCTGCTAATCTTGTAAAACCATAAAACTTCTTCGTGTTCCAGGCTGTGGAGTACAACATCTTCGAGGGGACAGAAGTGCGTGGAGGTCCTCTGGTGGTGATCAGCCAGGGCAAGATTGTGTTGGAGGAGGGCAGCCTTCACACCACGGAGGGCTGTGGGCGCTACATCAGCCGTAAACCCTTCCCGGACCACGTTTACAAGAGGATAAAAGCTCGCAGCAGGGTGAGTCCTGTGCGTGTATCTAAGGAGCAGCCACAGCTGCAGAGACCTCATTCTTATAATACGAATGACCGTGTTATTATGTTTAGCTCACAGAGCTGCGAGGAGTCCCGAGGGGTCTGTACGACGGGCCAGTTTGCGAGGTGACTGTGACTCCCAAGGTGATGTCCACAGTTTCCTCGGTGAAGACTTCCCCTGCCAAGCAGCAGCAGCAACAACAGCAGTTTACTCACCAGCCTGTGCGCAACCTTCACCAGTCTGGCTTCAGTCTGTCTGGTGAGTCAGAACACCTGCCAGTTTGCCTTTTTTCACAGCTGGCCATTTAGATTGTCTAATATTTTATTCGAAAATATTTTTAGGCGCCCAAATTGATGACAACGTTCCTCGTCGCACCACTCAACGCATCGTGGCTCCTCCCGGTGGAAAAGCTAACATCACCAGCCTCGGCTAAGCACTTTTTCTCCACATAGCCAGGGAGGGGGGTTGCAGGGCCACACGGGACCAGAGGCTGCTCTTACAAATGTCCCATCACGTCCCTTTGCTGATCACCTCCGACTCCCCTATGCAGCCCACACCATTTATTAATATTCACACATACCACCACATCACCTCATGCAAAGAAAAAAGAAAGCACTATTCCATTTCGCTTCACCGTCTCGAGATAGTTAAATACCGAGGAAGGATCAAGTGAATTGAAGCAGCTCTTTTTTTAATGCTGTTTTCATGGCCAGTTTGATTATTGATGAAATTAATTTGTTTACATTCTTTTGTATATTTTCAGCTGCATGTGATTGTTTATTTGCCCTCTTGGCTCAATAAGCTGACCCAAAAGTTACCCCAAGGAATATTTTAGCAACAGGAACTTTTGACGGTTGTTCTTCTTGCGCTGTTCGTTTTCCACGTATTAGAATGTTTTGGTGGTTCTCAGACATCAGCCATCTTTAGCTGAAAGCAGAGCCTCTGTTGCCACCGTTAACAATGCTGTTTCTACTGTTATGAGACTGTTTGTTCAGAAATGAGAAATTAGATAGTAGAATATTGTTTTTCAATAACACCTCAAGTCTGCAGTATTTGAATTTATGCTTGGTTTTAAGTTTAAGCCATGTATTGAGCTGAGCAATTCACCTATGTCTTCCTTTAGTGATATAGTTGCACTCTGTTTCCATTTTTTTTAAAAATATTGTCTTTTTGATGTTTTATGTTTTAACATTTTTAAGTCATTTTGGAAAACGCTGACTGCACTGAAAGGAAAAGAAAAGGGTATTTTTAGGGTTAAACCACTCATTTAGCTTCACCCCGGGGGAGAAATTGCTAGTGTTCTGCCTGAGAAACACACTCTTCCCTCATTTCTTCCTCGCGTTTTTTCCCCTCATGTTGGTTGATAGGTTGTCTGGGCGAAAAGCTTCCAATAATAGCAACACTGGATGTGGTTAAGAATATAGTCAGTCGAAGAAGCTCGATTGGAAGGTTTGCCCACAACCTCTCTGCACCTGGTGCTATAAATATATATATAAAAATATATATGACCATTGCTGTATATGTGCAGATGATGTCACAGCAGTCGTGTAAGCTTTGTAATAACAGCAGCCGGGGTCGAGTCACCAGTTACCCAGTTTTAACAGAACACGTTTTGCACCTGTAACAATCCAAATGGTTGAAACTGTATGTGAGCTTGCAACTTTTTATTTGTAACAGATTTGTCTGTATGTTTTAGGATATGTGTTGAAATACTTGCCTGCCTGTTCTGTAAAGATATTGATAGCACACTGTATCTATGAAGGCTCTTTAAAGATGTGAAACGATGAGTTGTTTTTTGAGACCTGATGAAAAAAAGAAATGCTTCTGTATGTACATGAAACCCCCCACACAGTGTGCTGATGATGTGTCCACTGTTCTCGGTGTTAGTGTTGTGAATGAATTACCGGGTATATCGTTTTCCTTCCTCTCTATCTATCTGCCTGACGTTGTCAACACCAGATTCACTCAAGCTAGTAACCGTATCGGTCACACAGCGTTGTGCAGCCATACTGTAAACACTGGATTTTTCCCCCCTCCTCATTGCCTTGTCAAAGTGTAGGTTTTGTATGCCAAGCTATAATGTGAAGTGATTTACATTTGGGAAACTTTCTTGATAATGGTCATTGGGTTGTAATGTTGAGCACTGTTGTTTGCCCTTCTCCACCTAGTGTGATACTACTGCTCATGTATGTTTTGTAGGATACCAGAGTTTGGGAGGAAATCATCGATCCTGTCAGCATTTGGTTGTGTTGACTTCAGTGGATTAAAATAATAAAAATAAAACCTGTGGTACTGACTTCTTTCTTTTTTCTAATAAATAAAAGATGTTTTGACACCAGGGAAATACAAAACACACTGTTGTGTAGACCAAGTCCTTGGGACCCTCATGGTTCAAAAAGTGTTTTGATCATAGTCTTGGATAATTATCCAAGAATTATTTGAGATTCTTGAGTTCAGACATTTAATTCCACTCTCCCAGTGATTTAAAGAATATGAGCTTTCAATATTCATTCAGATGTTTTCTAGAATGGGGTTAATTTTCTTTTGTCATTAGACAGTTTTTCTTATTTACATTTTCAACATGTTCAGCTAGTTTGTTCTTCTGTGTGAATTTCAGTTCTGCACTTTGGCTGTCAGGTGAATGACTCGGTGTATTTCACATCATTAAACCTGTTTTCCAAAGATTCAGCAATTATAAAAATTCAGCTCAAACCATTCAGCTATTAGCATTTACACTGCATTTTCTACAGGAAATGCATTCTCTAGTGTTATTTACCAGTTTCACTTACTGTTGTTGACATGTTAAGAGTTAAGTTGAAATTCTATTATAAATATTAACATCAGTATGTTATGTTAACAACACATGTGAAGGTATTTAGAGAACCGTAAGAGACTCTTATAAACATCTGAAAGAAAATCATCTTTAATCATAGATGGAGACTTGTGCAAAAAATATTATTTTTAATTAATTATATTTTTTAATTTGATTTCAGTTTCTCTGTCAGTCAGTTTCTTTCGGTCTGACACAGCAACTGCACAGAATTTTTAATTTTTGGAAGAAGTCTTTTTTTGTCTTCTGTTTGATTTTAAGGTCTTCAGACTCCTCTGTCTCAGCTGTCTCAGACATGGATGCAGTTTCAGCAGAAAGTTCCTCACAGGGAACATTAGGCACTGGCAAACTTTCAGAAAGGAGTTCCTCACTGGGAAGAACATTCAACACTGGCACATTTTCAGAGGGAAGTTTATCAACTGGTGGAACATCGGGCGTTGAAGGACTGTCTGAAGGAGGTTCTTCATTTGGAAGAACATCAAACATTGGAAGACCTGAAGGGGGCTTAAAGATATTGGATACGTGATTCTTTGCTACACCAGCAATCGTCTTGAGCAGCACTGGTGCAAAGTTTGCAATGTTGTTAAGTAGAATTTCCTGGTTCCTGCTGCTTGTCTTTAAGGATTTAAACGGAATCGTTCATCATGCTGAGGAGTTTAAGTGTTCTGTAGAATAAGGCTATTTAAATATCTTTTAAACATATTTAAAGCACCACAGAAATATTTAAAGACTGTAGCTGGACTGTTAATTGTATGTCAGATGTGACCCACTGAAATTAAGGAGGTATAGCCTCTGGAAATTTAAGGAGCATCCGGGCTATGTCCCTTATTTTATTAATATCGTTCACTGCCCATACCTGAAACAGAAAACACATTTACAGTGCAGTTTTGTTTAGAGGTTATGTAAAAAAGAAATCTCCAAATTACTTGTGAGTTTTCTAGACTTACCAGTTTCAGAAAAGGTTTGGCGTCGTCTCCTTCAAAGTCTTTTAATTCAAACTCCCAAAGCCTTCGAAAGAAAACAAAAAAGAGGTTTTCTGTCAGCATTTACGCTTCATCGCAAACAGACTTTCAGGTGTCACAGTAACTTAATCTCCTGTTTTAATTTTTATGTTTTTTCCCGACTATAAAATTACACCATATGTGTTTAAAAAAAAAAGCATAAATAAAACCTGGCTGCTCGTTTGATCATCGAGGACTCCAGCTGTGTGGCTCAAGTAGTGTTTGTCTTTTGGGAAAATCAGGCCGGTGTAATTTAGGTGAATTTCACAACGTCTCACACACTCATCTGTGTTTTCCAGCCGTCTTTGTCATAGTTTAACAGCATAATCAGATATGATGTTATATGGTAATAAAATAGCTCATGCAGTGAATAAGGGGTAACACCCTGATAAGCAATGCTTCACTTACTCTTAGTTAGGGTGTCGTTGATTCGAAAGCTGCACAGCACTTTGTCAACATTTCGGGCGTGAAGGAATCCACTTCCTCTCACCACCACTTGGAAGGACTCTGACAAGGCGAAGAGAAGCACATTATGTCACCTCATCTATGAAATATTATTGAAAATAAATGAAGTTATTTCATCTTCTTTGGTCCAAATAAGTAATCCCAAGCAGCAGTTTACATACACTCGTGTTGAGCATGAATGTCGTGGAAATTTGGAGCTTTTAATAATTTCTTTCAACAGCTCTTTTTCCAGGGGAAATTAGTTTAAAACAAGAACTGGGTGTGCAAGTTGGATTTTCTCTAATCCACACAGGGTCAAGTGTGGATTCCCCTCAGATGAGAGGAAAATGGCGTTCAGGAAGATCCAAGAGTTCCATGAACTGGAAACCACACGACAAAAATTCCCTTCACTGTCCCAGTAAAGGGAGTTTCACATCGCTTATTATTATTTAAGATGTAATGAAAACATTGCGTCACTTACCCATTTTCCCTGGGTGATGACATCATAAAAATGATGTCATCCTCCATTTGTCCAATGCTATTCGGCCTCTCTGCATGTCCAGACTTCTCAACCTGAGTTGTCCCTCTGAGAGATTCTGTCTAATCTCGACCAACCTGGTTGCTCTGACTTTGCCTCATGTCTTTTTGTCAGTGTTACCATCTCCAATCCATACACCATAGAAGGTCTCACTACCATCTTGTAAACCTTTCCTTTCACTCTTTCTGCTATCCTTCTGTCACAAATCTTCTGTAGTGCTCTTTCTCAGCGTGAAGCCATGCTGCTGCTCGCTAATTGTCACATTTTTCCCATATCTCCACAGTACGGCTCATCAGCTTTATCCCTCTGTAGTTACTACAGCTCTGTGGAATCCAATCCACCCACCACAATAATACTAAACACTCCCAACAGTTTATCCATGCCTCAAGTATCCTGTGTTGATCTTGAAATTGTTAATTAATGACTTGCTACACTAAGAATTCTGTACATGTGTTATAATTCATCCAACTACAGCAGCCTGTATTATAACAAAATGTATTTTCATTGTTTTCATTGTCTTACATATTTGTATATATTATACAAATTATATAATATTATATTTTCCTTAAGCCTAGTAAAGACCATTTAATTTAAATACTAATGATTATAGAGCACACTATAGTTATGGGAAAACATTTGCACTGTTGCAAACAAATAGTTGCTTTGCAATTTGACAGAAAAACTGATTAAATAATAAACTCTGATTAGACTTAGCACTCAAGCTGAGGCCAAAAAACAGTGTGTGCAACGGTTCACCTGTCTCTGCTGCAGGAAATTAGATTATGAGTCACCGCTGGGTTCTGACTGACGCTATTTCGTTGTGTGGGGAATAATCGATTGAGTATTTCACATGCAAAGATGGCTGCAACTGCCTTCCTTTGCAGACGAACAGCAGGGGTCCCAACTGTGTGAGTGTTAATAAAGACTTCTAATAAAGTCAAACAGCTGGATGCAACAAAAACACCTCAGGGTAACATTTTGTCAAACTAGGATTAGGCTACAGTCACTGGTGAGTCTCATTAAACAGCCTTTCGCAGGCAGGGCTGTGCCAGCACTGGCAAATCAGGCGTCTTTAATTTAATTAATTACATTTAATTAAAAATAATTTTTTAGTTTAGTTGAGTTTTTTTTTTTGATTCTCTGGTGTCTATTGTGTCTGATGCTAAGACTAAAATATGCCTTTTGACCCAAACATTAATTCATTATGGACTGGCTTTAATCATTTATTAATATTACTTTTATTTATTTATTTATTTATTTATTTATTTATTTATTTAACTCAGTGTGAGATTTATTTCAGCAGTGCAAGAAGGCAAAAGATTGTGACACGGAGAGAGTTGGCAAACCTGCCTTACATTTGGTGTGAAAATAAACACTTTCCATCTTCTGTTCATATGAATATTATTAGAATGTGACTTTGAGGGCTCTTTAATAACAGGGGCGAAATTTTCTAGATAATTAATTAATATTAATAACAATGATTTGTAATTAACGTGAATATTTCTCACTCTATTATAATTAAAAATGGTTTTTCCTTGTTTTTATCTTGTATACTTTTACTTAAGTAA